ATGTGGATATCAGCCAAATAGAAAATGTTGTACAAATATAAAGTAAGATCATGAGTAACCCCAGTGTCTATCCACTCATGCTTGTGATCTCAATTACCTCTTTAGAATAATAACATTGACCTTTAAAAAAAAAGATTTGATTTAGTTAATGCAGATTTTATTGGTTGTTTGTTAACTAATTTGATTTTGTTTGGTTGATGGTTGCAATCTTCCCTCTCCCATCCTCATTAACCTTTATGAATGCTTCTCAAATAAATTCTTGAGATTATGAATGATATGAAAGAATTTGATTCAACTTGTGTCAGTGCTCAAGTTAATTCATGACTGAAACATGCTGTACCTTTCAACACTTTACTAAACTGAAATTTATTCAGACAGGCAGAGAGTTAGATTCCTGTAGCTTAGCTGATAGGAGAACAATGCCACTTTCCTGTGTTCTGAAGGAATGTAAACAGCAAGAAATCAGAAGAAACATATCATAGGTTTTCTCCAAAAATATAGCCTGCCAAAAGTTGAAGGCTTTTTAGCATTATAACATTATTTTATAGTTTTTCTTCTTTGTGATTGAAATATATAACTCAACTGGTATAATATAGCTACAATTGTTATATCACAATATATATATATAAAGATATATTCAACAAAACCAAACTAGGAAAAGTATCAACAAAATGCAAATGGTATCTTTTTAATATATGTATCATTAAACAAAACCTTTATGAAAAAGGTAGACCTTAAATGAATTCTCCAAGTGCTTTCCTAACACAATCTTATAGATAATGCATCTATGAAACTATACCTCATCAAATTAATCAGTGGGCAAATGTGCTATTTTTTTTTTAAATGTTTGTGTGTGCGTTTTAGCAAATTACCAAATCAATGAAATTTGTAGCCTTTTGGCAGAGAGAGAGAAAGAATGAAACTTTTTCCTATTTTTAAAACAGAAATACCTGGTATAGTCGAATAAAATCAGTAAATACTAAGAAGCATTTAAAAATAGGATAATAACCATAGGAATTTATATAATAGTCTTGGCATATGTTCTTCAACCATACAATTTCCAGCCGTGATACTTGTGATTTTGTCTGTGTTACCACAATAAATTTTACGTACTATTGTACACCGAGGCAGTATTGCTTAAGAGGTTAAATGTTGCTTCTTAAAAAGTGTTTAACCAGAATGAGTGTCTTCTTCGAATTGTTATCTGGTATTGCCAACAAAAAGCACTCCCCGCAAAAAAAAATCTGTAATAAATTAGATGTTAGCATGTGGGGTAAATGATTAATTATTTAATCATAAAACCCTAGCATAGCAAGGAGTCATGAAAGCCATGGAGTCCAACACCCCGTCCCCCCTTTCTCTGCAGGAATTTAAATTAAAGTGCCTGAAACAGAAGGCTGTCTAGCCCTTACTTGAGCACATCCAGGGAAGGGGTGGCCACTGCTTCTGTGGATAATTGATTCCTCTGTTGAATTGCTCTTACAGTAAGGAAACTTTAAATCAGAATCTGCTTTTTATACTTTAAATCCAGCTTGGAAGAAGACAGCAGGTCTTGATCTCCTTCTATGGGACATGTTCCCGTAATTTAAAGAAGATTCACCAATCCTTTCTCAAAACTAAATATGGCCAGGTGTTCCTCCATAGGGCTTAGTTTTTAGCCTCCCCCAGATCATCTTTATTATCCTTCCCCAAACCTTCTCTATTTTCTCTGAACCCCTCTTAAAGTATGATGTCCAAAAGTAGGAAAAGCACTTAAGAGTGGAATGATTGCTTCTCCGAATTTGGAATTACCTTTTTGTTGATGAAGCCTAAACTGGCATTGTCTTCTTTGGTAGCTGTATATTTTTGCTGGCTCATATTCAGTTTTCAAATCAACTACAATTCCAAAATAAAGTTTTTCATTTATTTTTTTAAAATATTAATAGCAAGTGCGGTTTTCACCCACCCAATTCTTTATCTTTCTCCTCCCCCCTTAAGTAAAGCACTTCTATCAAGTTTGGTTCTGTTACTTTAATCCTCTTTTCCCAACCTATCAAGATTGCATTTCATTTTAAATCTGTCTCCTGGGGTGTTATCGGGGCCACCAATTTTGTACAATTGGACATCCATAAGCATTGCCTCCAGCTTTTTCATTTAAAACACTAATGAAAATATTAAAGAGTAAAAGAGGTAGGAATGATCATTGTGATATTTCTTCAGTGAGCTGATAGCACTCTTGGGATACAATTTTTGATCTAGTTTGTGTCCACTTAATTAGTGGGATATTTCAATTAGGCTATATAATGCATATACTGTATAATTCCCATAGGTTTTTTTCCCCAAATGAGATAAAATTAGCTTGGCAAAACTTGCCCTTTACAATCCATACCTATTTTTGGCAATTGCCACCTGTTTTTGACAATATCCTCTGCAACAGAGGAGTACAGGAATCCCCCTCAAACAGATGGAAAGAGCAGGACTCTGCTTCCCCCATGGCCCAAGTAAACCAGAGAAAGTTCTCCTTCTCCTCAGCTCCACTGGGTTCATGTTACCTCCTAAGGCAGGGGTCTTCAAACTTGGCCCTTTTATGACTTGTGGACTTCAACTCCCAGAATTCCTCAGCCAGCGTGACTGGCTGAGGAATTCTGGGAGTTGAAGTCCACAAGTCATAAAAGGGCCAAGTTTGAAGACCCTTGTCCTAAGGCAGGGATAGGCAACCTTGGCTCTTTTATGACTCATGGACTTCAACTCCCAGAATTCCTGAGCCAACATGGCTCAGCTTGGAAACCTCTCCCTTTCCCCTCAGCGTGGCTGGCTCAGGAATTCTGGGAGTTGAAGTCCACGAGTCCTAAAGTTGCCATGCTTGAAGACCCCTGATCTAAATTGCTGCTTCTCAAACCCAGCAACTTTAAGATGTGTGGACTTCCACTCCCAGATCTCCCCAGCCAGCATTCATTCTTCCCATGACAGAATAATTCTCTGCATTTCTGTGGTACTTTGTAATATTGTTTTATTTGCCGGTTAGGATCATCTATTTATTGTCTACCCATACTGTATTACTCTGAGTTCAACATTTTAAAATATTTACATTTATAAATATAGAACGTTTTCCTGGAACAATTATTCCAAGATCTTTAAAAGATTTCACACATCAAGGAATTCTCCATACAAAATTCTCCGTGGAGAATTAAAACTTTGGGAAATACAGAAAATATATGGAACTTTCTGCAATTAAAAGTTATTGGGCTATATCAATAAACATTGTAATAGAGGTTTGATAATGAACTGTGACATATTATCAATGCATAATTTGTGTTTCTCCATGACATAACCTCAGCATATAATAATTTAACCCTACTACGCTTAGGTGAATTATGCCTTTTGTTTGCCTGACACGGCAAACAATGCTGGCTGAAGAATTCTGGGAATTGAAATCCACCCATCTTAAAGTAGTTAAGATTGAGAAACTCTGATTCAGGCTAAGTGCAAGAATCCAAATTACAGGTCTCTGATATATCTCCCCTTCACACAAACATTTGGTGAAAAGGAGCCCCCATCCCATAAGTATCTAGTCCAGGGTAGTGGTGGGATTCAAACATGTGAACAACCGGTTCTCTGTGTGGATGCTACTTCCGGAAGTCTATTCTGGGCCTGGGCAACAAAAAATTAGCTACCATCACTGGTCCAGGGGTCTTCAAACTTGGCCCTTTTATGACTTGTGGACTTCAACTCCCAGAATTCCTCAGCCAGCATGCCTGGCTGAGGAATTCTCAGAGTTGAAGTCCACAAGTCATAAAAGGATCAAGTTTGAAGACCCCTGATCTAGTCCCACTGTTGCATGACTCTTATTATCAGGAAGTTTTCTGTAAAATTAATTTACTTCTCTTAAATTCAGAGCTGCTAAATTCTAGGGACCATGGCTGTCAACTGATGGGTTCGTAATTATTGACCTCTACCCATCCAGCTTTTGTTAATTAAGACTTTCACAAAGCACTTTGGAGTTCAAGGGGGAAGAGTCACCAGTCATGGTCATCTTATGCCACACGGAGTCTGCTAGTCTGCTACAAGGACAGCCTGAAGTAGATCCACACTTTTCTATACCAGCTAGGATTTCTGAGCTAGCAATGTTAAGTTGTTGCTGCTATTTTTTTATGTGACATCGATTGATTCTATGGAGTGGTTTTCTTTTCCAGATATTTATTAATATTTACAACAGACTATATTTTATGTTGCATCTTATTTCTACTACATCGTCCCAGTATTTAATAACAGTAGGCGTTTGTGATAGTAATGTTGTTTTAGTCGCTTTTGTTAGAATTTATAGACTGACAAATGACTGGTTGCAAATTTTGCAGGAAGGGCACTGTTCACTTAGGGACTCAATAAAATACACAATTTTATTAGAAGGCACAAAAATTCTTTCTTGCAATTGGACCAGCTTGTTCTTTCTCTATGCATGTGATTTATTTGGTCCTGGAGATTTAAACATTTGAAGTAAAGAACTATCCCTTAGCTATGTATCTAGGAATCGCAACTTGCCTATCGGTCCTTTCATCCTGCTTTTCTTAATTTTCTGGTCACTTTTTGTTGTTGTTGTTAAAAAAGACTGAATCAAACAGTAGTTACACAGCTGTGACTTTTCTGTGTTGTGCATTACCATACCTAGCACTCCTCCAATTTACCTCATAAACAACGAGCCTGTGAGGTGGATTCGGCTGAGAGAGAGAAATTCAATTATTGCTAATCCAGGCCTGCTTTCAAAAAAAATAAAATGAAATTTTTAAAAACTCAAAGACATTCGTTTCTCAAAATTTGATCAGGCTGTAGACCAGGACAGGGAGATTAGTCCCTACAAGGCTTAGCTAATGGGATGCAATTGTCATGTGTGATGAGGTGAGGGAGGGAGATCTCCGCCAGGCGGGATAAAGAAGGGGGGGGGGTGAACTGGGACAGGGCAGTGGAATTCCAGACATTCCCTTTGCTGCTCTCCATTGATGAAGCCTTTTCTCCTTTCCAGGTCAGTGAATAATTTCCTGATGACTGGTCCCAAGGTAAGTGCATTCCCTTTGATCTCCATTCCTAATTTCAAGAAGCACAAATCATCTGGACCTTGTTTCTTTCCTCCTTCCCTGTTTTGATGAAGGTCGGGAGCGTGGCTGGATATTTGCAAGCTAAATTTGACTTGCAAACACAAGAAAACTTTTTCCCGCTTTTTAAAATTCTTGCTCTAAAGAAGAGGACCCCGTGTGATTATTTAATTAAATTGTGGACGGGCCTGTGCCATTAATTCTTCAGTGGCAGTAGGAAAATTGGCTTGTAAACAGTAATACTGAGAGACTCTCAACTGACACATGTTATACACATCCCAGAATCTGGCTACTAAGGGTGTTAATTTAACAGAATAATAATAGAATAATAGAATAGCAGAGTCAGAAGGGACCCTGGAGGTCTTCTAGTCCAACTCCCTGATCAAGCAGGAGATCTCAACTTCTTTATAGTAAAACTGTTCCTACCAAATATATGCCTTGCCACAATAATTAGTGCTCCAGACAATTCAGTGTAAATTATTTTGATTAATGTACACGGAATTTGTTCAAAATCACCAGTTATGTGATGTTTACTGGCTGAATTACTTTGGACTATCAGACGGTTTTTATTTGGCAGCCTACTTCTTTCATATCAGTTCTAATATGCTTTGATTGGTATCTGTACCCCAGTTTAGATCTCTAGCTTCATAAAGCCTCAGGTTCCTGATTTTTCCCTTCATTACATCTTCCTAGACCTAGCAGCATTTTGGCCGGGAAATTCTTCAGAGCCAATACTGTACTGTTAAGATTGTAAAATTCCAGCTCCTCAATGAGATATTTGGTTAAAAATTGTCATCTTTTGAATACATTTTGGTCACTTAATTGTTATTTTTTTAAAAATTCATTACTGCTGATCTCCTTCGAGAAGATGGGAACTCCTCGTCCCACTCCCTGCGTTTTGCCTAAAAATTGTTTTGGAAAAATAGGAAGGTTGATGATTTCACCAATTTACCTAGACCAGGGATGGCGAACCTTTTAGAGACCGAGTGCCCAAACTGCAACCCAAAACCCACTTATTTATCGTCGGGTGCCAGGTGGGCGTGGCACACTGGGTGGGCGTGGCTGTGGTGGTCATGGCAGACTGGGTGGGTGTGGCCAAGGTGGGCGTGATCACCTCAATGTTGCTTGTGGGGAGGGACACCTGTGGGGGCCGGGCAGGGTTGGGGGAAATCCAGGGGGTCTCTGGCAGGTGGGGCGGTGGGCAGGAGGCTCATCCTGCGGGGTGAGGCAAGGCAAGGCGAGGCAGGGCGGGGGTGCCATTGTCACAGGGCAAGGCGAGGCAGGGGCCGGGGCGGCTGCTGCCTGACACCATCGGCCCCTGCACACAGAGGCCAGCGAGCGCATGGGTACTGGGATGCATCCAGCCACGTGGACCTCGGCAAGTTAGCGGGCGGCTGGTTGAAGAGGGACGGTTGCCATCTCCGGGGCATGGCGCGCATGCCTACAGAGAGGGCTCTGAGTGCCGCCTCTGGCACGTGTGCCCTAGGTTCGCCACCACTGACCTAGAAGCTCCTTCTCTGTTCTGACCATCCTCCCCTTGCAGGCATATCTCATCTACTCCAGCAGTGTTGCAGCTGGTGCACAGAGTGGTATTGAGGAATGCAAGTTCCAGTTTGCTTGGGATCGTTGGAACTGTCCTGAGAGAGCTTTGCAACTGTCCAGCCACGGAGGCCTTCGCAGTGGTAAGAAAAATGATGGGGGTGGGGGCTGCTTCCATTAGCTATGTACCAATTATATTGTATTTCTATATATATATTATATTTCTCTGCTGGAATCTGTTAAATAAGCGTTCCTTATGGAATAAGTTGTTGCCTGATATTCTAATGTCCTGCAGGCGTGTGTTTCTTTTAAATTGCAGGTAATCCTATCCCAAGAAGATATTGCTATCGTCCATAGCCATAATCAATTTGTCTACTAGTTAGAAAACAAGAAGACTAGGGCAGAAATAAGTGGACAATCCTCAGACTGGAGAAAAGATCCTTTAGGAAATGAGATTAGTTTTTTTCAAATGTGTTCATGAGCAGTCTGGGGACAGGAGAAAACATGGAGATTGCAGATGGTAGCAAACCATTCTGGGTTAAAAAAAAAATCAATGTGGGATTACAAAGAACTTCAAAAGCTCCTACCCAAGCAGGTGACTTGGCCTCAAAATGGCAAGTACAGTTTACTGTAAGTAAATGAAGCATGTTGAGCTTGGAGACTCAGCAGATAAGAGGATAGTAGTATACATAGCCATTTGTTATATGACACAGATAAAGATGTTTATTCTTTCTCAGTATTAAAATCTCTTTTAACTAGTGAAGTATGAATCAGCAGTGTGCTGCAGTTGCCAAAAAAAAAAAAAGCCAATGTAGTCCTAGGCCAGTGGTGGCGAACCTGCACTCAAAGCCCTCTCTGTGGGCACGCGTGCCATCGCCCCAGTCCTAGGCCTTCAGCTGAGTTTTATAAAACCTTTTTGCTTTAGGCCTCCGCCGCCGTGTGCAAAAAAAAAAAAAAAAGGTTCAATCAATTTCAACTTCTCGCGGGAAAAAAAAAGATCTTGCAAAGTTGGAATTGATTGATTGATTGAACTTTTTAGTCCCATCCAGTCTGCTGTTACCACTGCAGCCACGCCCACCCAATGGGCCACACCCACCCGGCACTCAACGATGCATAAGTGGGTTTTGGGTTGCAGTTTGGGCACTCAGTCTCTAAAAGGTTCGCCCTCACTGTCCTAGGCTATATAAACAGAGGGACAGAATCAAGATAACATGAAGTGTTAGTACCACTTTACAATGCCTTGGTATTGCATCCACTTGGAATACTGCCTCCAGTTTTGCTTGCCTAGATGTTGAGGCTCTAGAAAGAGTACAGAGAAGAGCAACAAGGGCTGGAGGCTAAAACATGAAGAACGGTTGCAGGAATTGGGTCTGTCTAGTCTAGTGAAAAGAAGGACTAGGGATGACATGAGAGCAGTGTTCCAATATTTGAAGGGCTGCCATAGAGAAGAGGGGAGTGTCAATCGATTTTCCAAAGCACCCGAAGGCAGGACAAGAAGCAATGGATGGAAACTAATCAAGGAGAGAACCAACCTAGAGATAAGGAGAACTTTCCTGACAGTGAGGACAATTAAGTGCAGCGGCTTGCCTTCAGAAGTTGTGGGTGCTCCATGACTTGAATTGAATTGAACTGAATATTTGGTCAAATGTCCTTAAACACACAAGGAATTTGTCTCTGGTGCAAAAGCTCTCAGCATATGTGCAAAGCAACAGAACAATTGTAGTCATCATCATAATACTAGATGGGGAGTAAAAAATGGAAGGATAAATAATAATACTGCAGCTCTATTACATGGGTAAATAGTGGAGGTTTTTAAGAAGAGATTGGACAGCCATTTATCTGAAATGCTATAAGGCAGAGATCCCCAACCTTTTGGGCACCAGGGACCGGTTCCGTGGAGAGAGGTTTTTTCACGCTGGAGGGTGCGTGGTTTTGTATGCTGCCTGCATCTCACGGATGGGGCTTTGCTTGTTTATGTGGACCGGTTGCTGGCATGCTGCGGCCCGGTGCCAGTCCACAGACTGGGGGTTGGGGACCCCTGGTGTAAGGTCTCCTACTTGAGCAGGGGGTTGGACTAGAAGATCTCCAAGGACCCTTCCAATTTTGTTATTCTGTAACATTAATTCCATTCAAAGTAAATATTGGACTGAACAAGCACTTGGCTGAAGGAAGCACTGTAATTACAGAATTACAGAACCTAATAAGCATTGGTTACGTTCTGCATAGTTCTACTACTCCAGAGGGTAAGGCCTGTTGAGAACTTTCTTGTCCACTCCTATCAGCTTTCCATAAGCTACTGCCATTTGTCAGGGAAGGAGCTGGCCAGCACTTTTTTCACCTGTTGTCTTCTGACCTAAATTTGCTGATATCTCTTTTTTCTTTTAACAAACTGGGGAAACCAATTACATATGAGCAGACACTTAATGTGGCCACTGATAATTTAGGAATGGTAAGCTACTACTTCTTCTTTCGGGACAAAATTGTGCATGATAAGACAAAATGCCAAAAATACGCTTAAAATATTTTCTTCAGCAGTTCTTTATTAAGCTGCATGAAAGCAGTTTGTGTGCATTAATGCAGGGGTCTTCAAACTTGGCCCTTTTATGACTTGTGGACTTCAACTCCCAGAATCCCTCAGCCAGGCATGCCTGGCTGAGGAATTCTGGGAGTTGAAGTCCACAAATCATAAAAGGGCCAAGTTTGAAGGCCCCTGCATTAATGGGAGCTAGTTCTTTTAAAAAAAAAATTACTGTAAACAACTATTAATACGCCGCTCCCCTCACAGTTTTATATATTTAACAATATATTTCACTGAAAATCACTTTCCTCTCTGTCAAAGGAATCCTGGAGTGGACTTTCAATTGAAAACAAAAGCATCTTATAGATTTACCAGGCTAAAAAAAATAAATCATAGATTCTACTGTTTTCTCCTAAGCTGCAGTTTCTTTGGCTAAGTTGTTGTGTAATTATTTCACAGCTAACCGAGAAACAGCTTTTGTCCATGCAATCAGCTCAGCTGGGGTCATGTACACATTGACACGAAACTGCAGCCTTGGGGACTTTGACAATTGTGGATGTGATGATTCTCGCAATGGACAGTTTGGTAAGAAGTAACCTCAACAGCACATTCCCTCTCTACGAAGGGCTTTTTCTCCACTGGCCTCTTGCCATACTAAACTTCATTCTAAAAAATAGAGGAAAGAGAACAGTGATGTATTTTAAACACACTCAAAAGCCTTTAAAAAAAAATATGTGCGGGCAAAATGTCTCCTATTTGCATAGTTCTATTTATAGCTTTTCTGAGCTCAGGAATCTGAAAGCAGGTGATATTTATATAGCTATGCAGGTATCTTATCCAAGTATCCCCCCACCTTTTCTGGGCTAATGCCCAGTAACCCTAATTCTTTTTTTTTATGCACTAAAGTTGAACCTTTCTTCTGCTATCTATCGGCTTGATTACGCAAAGTATTTCCCAATGTAGGGCAATAAAATTATCAGATGGTTGCTTGGATCAGGAGATGTTCTTAAAACTGATTTTCCTATTGATTGGCATGGAAAAAGCATAAATGGCAGCATCCTTTTGTTTTCTCACAAAAGGAGTTGAAATATGCAGAGGAGGAGGACGAGAACAAATGGGCCAAATTTCACTGAAAGTAGTGTGAAAGTTTCGGAGCTACCTTTCTTAGTTTTCATGCAGACTTAAATTTCTCGGGTAAAATTTCAGACAGTGGGAAACGAAAAATGAGCAAGGAGGTATAAATAGTCAAATTCAAGGTTTGGTAGACAGCGAGGAAGGAAAAGGTAAAAGGACACTCTATTAATGCTTCTCCTTGATGAGAAATGAGAAGAAAAGTAAAAAGAAATAGTTTCATAAAGGTGTAGGAAATTAAAAGACCTGATGATTCCATGCACATTTTTTACAATCTCTGGAATATTATTGTTAGTCTGGTTTACAATAAGATCCTTTGCTGGCTAAAATAAGTTAGTAGAACTGTTTCATGGATTCATCCCTTAAAATTAAAATCTTCTGTACCAAGAAAGCATATGTTCAGCATTGCGTTGCATTTTTTTTAGTTGTTTAGATCAGACATCTAGGTAAGAAGAAAAAGGGAGCGGACTGGAATGGAGCAGCCATGCCACAGTTTGTATGCTATGACAGGGTGCCAATTTATAGCTGGACTAACTAAATAACTAAAAATAATATCTCACACTTTGGGGGGAAAAAAGGGGAGGCCTCTTTGCCAGGATGATTCCCCTCCCTACTGTGACATTTTGTGTAAATGGAGGATGAAGACATAGCCCAGTGGTGGCGAACCTATGGCACACATTCCAGAGGTGGCACTTAGAGCCCTCTCTGTGGGCACATGCACCATGCACCAGAGATGGCAACCGTCCCTCTTCAACCAGCCACCTGCTAACTGGCTGAGGTCCCACCTGGCCGGATGCATCCCAGTACCCATGCGCTTGCTGGCCTCTGTGTGCAGGGGCTGATGGTATCAGGCAGCAGCTGCCCCAGCCCCTGCCTCACCTTTCCCTGTAACAATGGCACCCCCGCCCTGCCTTGCCTTGCCTCACCCCGCAGGACGAGCCTCCTGCCCACTGCCCCACCTGCCAGAGACCCCCTGGATCTCCACCAACCCTGCCCGGCCCCCATAGATGTCCCTTCCCGTGAGCAACATTGAGGTGATCACACCCACATTGGCCACACCCACCCAATCTGCCATGACCACCACAGCCACGCCCATCCAGTGGGCCACACCCACCTGGCACCCGGCAATAAATAAGTGGGTTTTGGGTTGCAGTTTGGGCACTCGATCTCTAAAAGGTTCGCCATCACTGACATAGCCTGTTTTTCTTACATGTGACTGAGTACTCTTAGCAGAACATTGATTCTGGACAAGCCAAAACTTGGCATGGAGGGGATTGGGGTCCAGAAGAATGAACATGTATTCTGAATCCCTTGCCTTGAACTCTGGGCTTCAGCCAGATCTGATGCTGTTCTTAGCACACCCACTGATGTACCCCAATCTAACAGTCGGGTGACACCTTTGTCTCTGCAGGAGGCCAAGGATGGCTGTGGGGAGGCTGCAGTGACAACGTGGGCTTCGGGGAAGCCATTTCCAAGCAGTTTGTGGATGCCCTTGAAACAGGGCAGGATGCCAGAGCAGCAATGAATCTGCATAACAATGAAGCTGGCCGAAAGGTAATCTCATTCCCATATACTGCAAGGAGAAAAGTCAGGAGAAGCAAGGGAGAGTCAGAGTCTTCCGGTGTCTGCTATGGGTAATTTTTTTTATGAAGCGTTTGGCCGCTGAAATAACCATCCGTTCTGTGTTATCGGGGAATTTCAGTTGCTAGAATTGAAGAAAAAGTTAAAAAAAGTTTGGGGTGCTCCTGTATGTGGGAATGATCTTGGGAGGCTGAAGAGTCAGGTAAGAGAGAGCACAGCCTGCAGCTGCAGAGTGGGGGAACAAGGGGCTCAGAACAGACCCTCCCCTAAGTTATCGTTTACAGTGTTTCTCAACCTTGACAATTTTAAGGCATGTGGACTTCAACTCCCAGCATTCCACAGCCAGCATTGCTGGCTGTGGAATGCTGGGAGTTGAAGTCCACATGCCTTAAAATTGTCAAGGTTGAGAAACACTGGTCTATAAAGTATAACAATAGCAGAATTGTACTTTCAAACTTGCAAGATTCTGTCAATATAGTTTTGCAAGAAAATAATTTTAGCCTATCTGTTCGTGTTTCCTGTCTGGTCTACTTTGTAAAGCTGATAATTCCAATGTTATTCTGAATGTCCATTCGATGCAGAAAGGCAATATATACCTGTCAATAATGTTAGGATGTAGATTCGGGCAAGTTGACTCTTGGCTTTGGAAATTCTTTGATTGCGCTGATTGAAGTATGATTTCTAGCTCTGCCAGTCATGAAAGGGGAGTTACTCATCCTAATGCAGGAGTGAGAAACCTTTTTCTTACCAGGTTTGGGGTCACCCAGCAGAAAAGTCAATCAATGTCTGAACTATTGCAATGCTTGAACCAGATTTCTCAAATATATTGTACAGGAGGACACATTTCTCTTTCTCTTCCCTACAACGTCCTGCTTAGAATAGAATAGAGCTGGAAGTGACCTTGGAGGTCTTCTAGTCCAGCCCCTTCTCAAGCAGGAGAACCTATACCATTTCAGACAAGTGACTGTCTAGTCTCTTCTTAAAAATCTCCAGTAATGGAGCGCCCACGATTTCTGGAAGCAAGCTGTTCCACTGGTTAATTGTCCTCACTGTTAGGAAGTTTCTCCTTAATTCCAGGTTGCTTCTCTCTTTGGTCAGTTTCCAACTATTTTTTCTTGTCTTGCCCTCTGGTGCTTTGGAGAATAATTTGACCCCTTCTTCTTTGTGGCAGCTCCTCAAATACTGGAATGCTGCTATCATGTCACCCCTGTTTCCTCTTTTCTGTAGACTAGCCAAATCCAAGTCCTGCAGACGTTCTTGGTACGTTTTAGTCTCCAGGCCTTGGATCATCTTAGTTGCTCTTCTCTGAACTTTTTCCAAAGTCTCAATATCTTTTTTGTAGTATGGTGACCAAAATTGGTTGCAGTATTCCATGTGTGGTCTTACTAGGGTTTTATAAAATGGTGCTAATACTTCACGTGATTTTGATTCTATGCCTCTGTTTATACAACCCAGGTTTGTATTTTCTAGCTTACTAAGCAGCAGGTTGTAGTCTACCTTTCTCTCTTTCTTTGCCACACTGCCGATCCTGTCATTTATTTTATTTTTATTTATTTATTTATTTATTTATTTAATTTTTATCCCGCCCTTCTCCTTAAGTATCATGAAATGGTTCTTCCTTCCATAACCCTCTTATGTTATTTTGTTTACAATGCACAATGTTCTTCAGATTCTATGCCTCTGTTTATACAACCCAGGTTTGTATTAGCTTTTTTGGCTGCTGCTGCACACTGCTGGCTCATATTCAAGTGATCGTCCACTAGGGCTCCAAGGTCCCTCTCACAGTTACTGTTTTTGAGCCAGGTCTCGCCTAACCTGTACTTATACCTTTGATGTTTCCTGCCTAAATGTAAACCTTTGCTTTTCTCCACATTCAAATTAATTTTGTTGGATAGGGCCCATTTTTCAAATTTGTCAAGATCTTTTTGGATCCTGAGCTTGTCTTCTGGGGTGTTGGCTATTCCTGTCAGTTTAATGTCATCTGCAAATTTGATGAGTTCCCCTTCTATTCCCTCATCTAAGTCATTTATGAAGATATTGAAGAGTACTGGGCCTAAGACGGAGCCTTGTGGTAACCCACTGCATACTTCTCTCCATGTGGACTACTCGATGAGTACGGTTTGTCAGCCAGCTACAAATCCATCTGGTGGTGATGTTGTCTATCCCACCTTTTTCTAGCTTACTAAGCAGCAGGTTGTGGTCTACTTTTCTCTCTTTCTTTGCCACAGGGCCGATCCTGTCATTAAGTATCATGAAATGGTTCTTCCTTCCATAACCCTCTTATGTTATTTGGTTTACAATGCACAATGTTCTTCAGAGCAGCTTGCCTCCTTGCATGCATTGATCTCAGGGATCCTATAATAGTGATGGTGTGATGTGGTGTCATCCTTGTCCACACTATGCCATTCTCAGAGCCCTTAACCTGGTACCTGGGATGGGCTTTTGCTCGGCTAACCAGAGTTATAGCAGTTTCCCTGCTGCTTTGGGAAGCATGCAGGAGAAAGAAGTGGCAGATGCTCTTTCCATGTGAAACAGTGCTTGGTCCACCTTGACCTCTTGTTTCTCACTACTCCACTCACCACCGACACCTTCACTAGTGTGTGCAGGTGCTCAACTATTAATGATTGCAATATCTTCAAATGTGCAAGAAAAGGGCTTCAATATAGAGAACATAAAACAGACATTCAGAAAGTGACTATTTTTAAGAAATAAAATGAAACACAGAATTGTCCAACAAAACCTACTTCCTAGTAACATAGCTTGTAGATCAGGGGTGGTCAACCTTGGCTCTCTTATGACTCGTGGACTTCAACTCCCAGAATTCCTGAGCCAGTTAAACTGGCTCAGGAATTCTGGGAATTGAAGTCCACGAGTCATAAAAGAGCCAAGGTTGACTACTCCTGTTGTAGATGATCTGGGAGCCTGTAGCATGGAAGGACTGAAGCTCCATTCAGAAGGGAAGAAGACTTCAGAAACAAACTATTGGATACGGCTAATGGACCACTTCTAGAGCTCAAGCTTTTATTTGTTATTTACAGCAGGGCCAGGCAAACTCAGTATGAGCCTGGTCCCCATTTTGCTGCCATGATTTACGCTCCATTCATCATGCAGTTTTCAAACTGTATACTATCAGTCGGCTGCAAAACAGGGGAAAGCCAAAGAGTCTGAGCAATATCATTATTACTTTTTTAACAGTATTTTTAGGCATATAGTAAAATACCATTTGCAATAACGAGCATGACTATCACTTCCTACCATCAAACTGATTTTTTTCCCCAGAGTTGACATGATAGGAAGGAATAAATACTTGGTGAATCCAAATAATAGCTTTGGAAACTAATCACTGCATTCAGTCCTTCATTGTGTCATGGTTCCGATAGATGAAACCCGTCAAAAGAACCTCAAGGCAAAATTCATCCTTAAAGAAACATTTTATTCAGGAAACAAAGTATCGGCACTACATAGTTGAACCCAAAACTAAATTCCCTTCCCCCCAGATACAAAGTAACATTGCAATTCCCACCCCCATGAAGCAGTCATAAATCACATTCTCCAATTAGCCTGAAGTGCCGGGCTCCCTCTCCAGCTCCTCAGCCCGTCAAAATGTTATCAGTTTGTGTCCTTGAGTTCCCACGGAGCTGCATTATTATTATGGCTAGCTGAGCTTGAGTATTCACCCCATCCCCCCTTCTGCATCTAATTCTTAAACAGAAGAAAAAGCAAGCTGAAAGCAGAGAAAAATGGCGGCAATTTCCCTCAGTTGTCAGAGCGGGAACATCCATTGTCACAGCGTTGACACATTATTTTAATCTGGAGAAAGAAAATAACTTGCTGGTAACATTGTACAAAATCCTGAAATATCTTTCTCGAAGGGATGCCAAACATTTTCTTGTAGCCAGATGTTAAGACAGATTTTAGGAAAAATCTCAATTAAAGTTCTTTGTTGAATAGAAATAAGACATTCTTGTTCCTTAGTTTTGTTGCTTGACCTCTACTCTGTTGTTGCCTTAATCTCTAGGCAGTGAAAGGGACTATGAAGAGAACCTGCAAGTGCCATGGGGTTTCGGGCAGTTGCACCACCCAGACCTGCTGGTTGCAACTCCCCGAGTTTCGAGAAGTGGGGACATACCTGAAGGAGAAATACCACAAAGGATTGAAAGTAGACATACTGAAAGGGGTTGCCAACAGCGCTGCAAGTCGGGGCGCCATAGTGGAAACCTTCAGCTCAATATCCAAAAAGGAGCTTGTCCACTTGGAAGACTCTCCTGACTACTGCTTGGAGAACAAGACTTTGGGCCTCTTGGGCACGGAAGGCCGGGAGTGTCTGAAGAGAGGCAAGGCCCTGAGTAAGTGGGAGAAACGGAGCTGCCAGCGCCTGTGTGGAGACTGTGGGTTGGCTGTGGAGGAACAGCGAGCAGAAATGGTGTCGAGCTGCAACTGCAAATTCCACTGGTGTTGCGCAGTTCGCTGTGAGCAGTGCCGCAAACGTGTCACCAAGTATCACTGTGTACGCAAGGAGAAAGGAGAGCAGCACGGGGGCAATGTGCCCCCACGGAAGCTTAGGAGGAAACAGCCTTAGTGCCGACTCAGCATCCGTTGCTCTTTCACAACGTCTCATATTTTATTCACTTCTACTTTGTTTTCCATATTTAGATCTATCTATGAAAAGGAAGCCTTCGCCTATCTAGTCTTTAACCCCACTTTGGAGAACCCACTGGAAGAGGTTTGCAGATGTTCCAGAAAAGATGAACGTAGCCCCAAGGTGATAGACCAGACATGTCAAACACAAGGCCCAGGGGCCGGATGCGGCCCGCGAAGTGGTTTCATGTGGCCCGCGAAGCCATCCTGGAAACAGTGAGGGAATGGCCCCCGCTGCCTTGGCCCTGGCCCAGGCCGGCCGGGAGCCAATGTACAATTTTGTGGTGGCCATCTTGGCACTTGCCCCAGTGGACCATGCCTTGGCACTTGCTCCAGTCCCACCCCCTTCTGCCAGAGACCCTCAGATCTGTCCCATTCCTGCCCAGGCCCCCCATAGGCACCCTTGACGCGAATGATATAGAACTGGCCACACCCACGCAGTAGGCCACACCCGCTCCATCCACGCCCACCCATTAGGCTGCACCCACTCTGGCCACACACACACCCCAGGGCAACCACAATGCTGATGCGGCCCTCAGTGAAATTGAGTTTGACACCCCTGTGATAGACTGTTACGGAATGAGTTCGGCTTCAAAGTCAAAGGGAGAAGCTGAAAGAATTTTGCCTCTGATTCTGTTGGGAGGGGATTTAGATATTCCTCTCCTTGCAGACTCTGTGGCAGCTGAAGGTACGTATCAAATGAAATCCATAGGCATTTGCCGTTCCCTGATCAAAAGATGCAAATTGACTGAACCAAAATAAAAACAACCAACCCACCTTGTCTGAAAATACACTCCTGAAAACTGTCTGAATCAGCTCAATTATTATTTTTTAATCACCATATCGAAGAATGAAAGTAGGGTATTTTGAATTGTTGGCAGGAGTTCTTGAGCCGTTCTGTTGACAGCTAGGTAAACTAGAGAGCCAGTTTGATATAGTGGTGAAGACATCATGCTAGAAACCAAGAGGCCATGAGTTCTAGTCTTGTCTGAGTCAACAGTTGGATGATCTCGGGTGAATTTTTTTTCTCTCAACCCTCGGAAGGAGCAAACCACTTCTGAAAAGTCTTGCCAAGAAAGTCTCCAACAATTGGACAATGACGGAAAAGAATAAAAAAAAACCTAGAGTAATATATTTTCAAAGGCTTTCTGTGTTAATATCAAATTTCCATCTGTTGCAGATTTGTTGACCAAGTTTGAAAAGGCCAACATACAAAGTAGTTACTCCCAACTACAACCATTGTTTACAGAAAGGGAATCCAGCCATGTATCCTTGTTTAACCTCTCAAGGACAGTCTGTTTTGATACTTCCTACCAGACTGGAATGCCACGTCGTGCTTATAGTCAGAAATATTCTCAGATTTGCAAATCCAAATCTGATACTTTAAAATAGTTTCCCTTCCTGCATAGAGCTTTGTTTTGGCATCTTACCCCTATTATTGAGCGAGCAAATTAGAGCTCTAGAGTGAATTAAATACTTTTTATTTGGGATACCTGACTGGGGTAAGAGGCACGTTAGGAGAGACAGTGTTGTTGAATTATGAAATTATCCTATTTATAAATAATACGCTAGCCTATGTTAGGAGGGAAAGGGAAGGAAAAAGCTGCCAAAATGGAATATAATTTTAAGGAAAACTTGCCATATTTTTAGATGAAAAAATATTTGTGAGGGGACATACCGTGTCCTAATTTCAGACAAAAATCTATTCAGAACCTTTCCATGTGATGGGTTGAAATTTGTCACACATTTGATGCTCATTTGATGGTTCCAGTAGTTACTGAACTTAAGAAGACAGACAACCATGTCTTCTATTTGTAATCCTTCTAAGTCTTTGAACCTCCCTCCCTCCCTTCTCTTTACAGGGAATATTTATGAGAGGAGCAAACACCATACTCAAGATTTCATTTGGTTGAGTTCACACAACATACTTTACCAGATTTAATAAAGACATAGCAGATGATCCACATAGCTGCTAAATTGGCCAGAATCATCTTGAAATTGTTTCATGGGTTAGCTTCCATGAATCAAGCCCATATGCTCACTTTATCTTTCAAATTTTGTGTCAGCTCAGTATTCAAGAACCAGATTAAGTACATTGCGTGAAAGCATCTTCTGTCAGTGAAAGATAGAAGTTGCTTTCACAGAAGCAGCAACTATACTTGATCCTCTGACTTTTGATTACTACCAATAGCATCTGTGGTGGAGGATGGGTGGGGTTAACATCTGCAAGAAGGTAGCTGCAGTGTCATGATCCAAACCCTGCCCTTTTTGTACACCTGTATGAAAGAGGCTGAGCTTGGAATGTGAGAATACACTCATCATCTTGCAGGGCATTGATGCCCCCCCCATGTTGCTAATTATTAGCAGATGCAGATCATTGATTCTGATCCACTTGCAAAAAGACACAACAAACCCGTGTGACGAGGGCTGCCCCAAACAATGTCACAGTAGGAGGAAGATACTACTACATTACTGAGACTGTGTTGGGACTATCAGAAGTTTCACTTAAAGTGCTTTTGTTTCAGGTCACTGGAAAATGAGGAAAGAACAGAACGAGGAAAAACTTAACAGGACATTTGCCAGACAGACAAATTAATAGAGGGGAGATTGGCTGAACAGAATTCCACCCAAATAAATGGCAAAACATGATGCAATTTTTCAATTGTTAGTTAAGATTTGGTGTATATTCCCTATGATAAGAACTCAAAGAATTTTACTTGAAAATTTTTTCCCCTTCCTGGTAGAGATTCTAGGCTTTGGGGGGGGCTTCTCTTTGATCATCAACAGTGCAGTGCAGTGTAAATAAGGGTTTTAGAGACTCCAGCTGGAAAATGTCAAGGTGCCATTTGACCTTTTTAATCAGCTGCTGTCTCAAATATTCTGATTTAGTAATCCCATGACTCCCTCTCTCGTGCTTCTTCAGGATACCTTGAACATGAGCTAGTGATTTGCTTGGATTTTCCTGAAAATTCTCAGCTAATTCTTGGCTTCTGCGTAGGAACAATGTTCCTAGCATTGCGCTGTAAATACCAATATTAAGAATACACTTTGCAGTCATGAAACTGAGAGCAAGTATTGTAAACAATAGTGTGTTGTTGATTTAAAAGGTGTGCATTATCACTGGCCATATTTGAGTTGAACCATGTAGGTACTTATTTCATTTAAGTGCTGTGTTGGAACATTACCGGCATCTATACTGGCTTGTAAGCAGCATGGGGGTCTTACTCTCTATGTTGAACCCCAATCTTACATCAGAGCTTTTATTGGAAAACTGGACACCTAGATTGATATTCTATGTCCAATCCCATTGTTTCAGAATGAAATCCTCACCATGAAAACTTAATAATAATTATAATAATAATAAAGTTGGAAGGGACCTTGGAGGTCATCGAGTCCAACCTCCTGCTCAGGCAGGAAACCCTATACCATTTCAGACAAATGGCTGTCCAGTTTCTTCTTAAAAACTTCCAGTGTTGGAGCATTCACCACTTCTGGAGGCAGGTTGTTCCGCTGGTTAATTGTTCTAACTGTCAGGAAGTTTCTCCTTAGTTCTAGGTTGCTTCTCTCCTTGATTAGTTTCCATCCATTGCTTCTTGTCCTGCCTTCAGGCGCCTTGGAGAATAGCTTGACTCCCTCTTCTTTGTGGCAGCCCCTGAGATATTGGAACACTGCTATCATGTCCCCCCTCGTCCTTCTCTTCATTAAACTAGACATACCCAATTCCAGCAACCGTCCCTTATATGTTTTAGCCTCCAGTCCCCTAATCATCTTTGTTGGTCTTCTCTGTATTCTTTCTAAAGTCTCAACATCTTTTTTACATCATGGTGACCAAAACTGGATCCTCCCTCTTCCATGGCACAGAAAATTAAGATATATAAAAAAAACTAAGCACTTTGAAGTTTTATTGCACAGTTAACTGTGGGGCAATACATTATTATTTGCTCTTGTATTTTCTTTGCTGGACTTCATAAAATAACTACAACCACGGATGACAGATCTTTACACTCCACCTGTACTGTGGATCAGTTAATCCAAATTTGTGGTGATACATTGGGAATTTTCTGTAGGTTCAGACAGAGCACTACCTACTTCAATTTTTCTTGTTAATTTTCCCAAGAAAATTAGGCACCGCAGTTTTTAAGCCTGTTATAATAAAGAGCTTAGGACTTAACCGGTAAATAAATGGAAAGTTAAGTGATGCTTCTTTTCTAAACATTAAGGTGTCTGATAAGTTTGCCCTGTTCAGCCTTCCACCTCTGAAGCCTGAAAGGCCTCCAGTGGGAGGAGCACAGAGGAACATAAAAGGAATATATTAGGATTTGTTCTTTATCTTACGTATATGCTGCAGATGCCTGTACTTCTGTGTTCCTCATTCAAGTCTGTTTAAAAAGGGTGGCAGGGAATGAAAATGAGGAGCTGGGAGACTGAGGAATTGAGACTGCAAACTGAATCAAGAGGAGCCAAATAAGTTGCCAATGGCTGTTTCATGCCAGAAATGAAGAGAGATTTCTGTCTCAAGCACAACATAAGTTAATAATAATAATAATAATAATAACAACAACAACAACAACAACAATAATAATAACAATAATAATAATAATAATAATAATAATAATAATAATAATAATAATAATAATAATAATAATAATAATAATAATAATAATAATAATAATAATAAAGTTGGAAGTGACCTTGGAGGTCATCAAGTCCAACCCCCTGCTCAGGCAGGAACCCTACACCATTTCAGACAAAAGGCTGTCCAGTCTCTTCTTAAAAACTTCCAGTGTTGGAGCATTCACCACTTCTGGAGGCAGGTTGTTCCACTGGTTAATTGTTCTCACTGGCAGGAAGTTTCTCCTTAGTTCTAGGTTGCTTCTCTCCTTGATTAGTTTCCATCCGTTGT